ACAAACGCATAAAAAGGTATGACTTACAAAAATATTAAGAAAAAATACCGGAAAATCATGTCATTTCAGCAACATTTGTGAATCACTGGTATCGAATAAGAAATGCCTCCCCCATCGGTACGCCAGCGTTCAGGGGCTCATGTCTTCTCACTCCTCTAACGAAAAACAGACACGCTTTCCCATCCTCTCATGCACAATATCTCCATGATATGCGCCTATCGCTATTATAAAAAACCGCCATTGATAAATATAGGTGGCATGCGGAATGTTTAGGAACTTTAATTGCTGTTAACCTTCCTTTTCTTTGAATGGAATTTTAAATGTTATTTAATTCAGGTTTTTATTATTGATATGTTCTTTTTGGTTAGAAATACAAACCATCTCACTCCTTTAATGTTTTTTTTTTTTTTTTGGGGGGGGGGGGGGGGGGGAGGGAGAGAAAAAAAAGCGTTTTGCCCCCCCCCCCCCCCCCACTTTTTTGGTTGGGGGAATGCCCCCGCCCCCACTTCGGGAGCCCATGTGTACTATGTAAGCGTTTGGTAAGCGTTAGGTTGCAGTTCAACCTTGACGCATTATTAAGAGCACCTGCCGTCCTACGATTGTAATCGATTATCCAAGTACTTAGTAGTTGATTCCCAGTGTGATTTTATATATATTCTAAGATAAATTATATTACCTAGTCTATAAATAATAAAACGATATTAAATCTCACATTTTTCTTAAAATAAAATTATTGGTTTCTTTACATTACGATATCAACTTTAAAATCATATTTTCTTTTCTTTTTAAGAAATAAGTTCACCTGTCAAAATATATGTTTTATTTGTATTTATAATTATTAGTACAAACTGTGAAACTGGTGTTCTTGCTGTCAGCAGAACTAATTTAAATCTCTTTTTGCCCGGCATTACACGATTATGTACTGTGAATGCTCAAAAATAATACCCAGTAGACAAGTGTATTTGACGACCAATTGAATGGTTGTACGGCAACGTACATGCCTCTCAGAACCGTCATAATCACACACCGACATTCGATTGGAAATCACAATAATAATAATAATACATTATATTTCTATAGCGCTTATTACAATGTTTCTAAGCGCTTTACAAAGTTGGCAATACTTAGATAATTAGATAATAATACATTCAATGACTATAATTAATATATATACTAATCAACCTACAATTAATTAAAATACATAAGCACAGATACATCTAGTCAATACATATAGATACAATAGAATACAATAAATTTTAGGGCAAAAACATTACAAATTCAAATTAAGGCAATAACATTACATCTACCGTGAATAACAAATTAAAGCTACAGACTAACATGGAGAATTAACAGGGAGAATTAAAAAGGAATGTCTTAAGGGAGGATTTAAAAGAATCTAACGAAGAAGCATCCCGAATCTCAAGAGGAAGTCTGTTCCAGAGCCTCGGAGCAGCTACGCTGAAGGCACGGTCTCCATATCGTGTTCGAGTTCGAAATCATGTTACTTTACTTTTTTATTGTTTAATTTTTCATTCCAATTTAATGAATTACCAAGTTTCAGATTCAAGGTTAAGCATCGTTGTAACCATGTCACTCAATGAAACTCCAACCTCGATCAATATGACTTGAATAGTGCACATTATGGAAGTCATTCTGATATTCAAGTTGGTTTAAATAGGAGCAGACATGATGGAGAGAAATGAACGTTTTAAACCAACTCTGATCCAAAGTAAATTTAATCTATCAAGCACAAAATAATAACTTGTTGACTTAATACCAGGGGGTGTTTCGAATCCTTCACTCTCTTTCTCCCTCCCTCTCCCGCCTTCTCGATTTCCCCTGTTTGTTACCAATGATCCAGATTCTATCTAACCTCCCTCTCCCTCCTATTCATCTCTCTTTCTCTCTCTCTCTCTCTCTTCCAGGCGCGTAGCCAGGGGGGCGGTCACCCCCCTCCCCCAAAACGCCGGCCAAAAAAAAAAGAGAGAGAGAAAGAGAAGAAAAAAGTAAGAGGAAGAGGAAGAAAAAGGGAAAGGAGTCGAGAATGGTACAACGAATCGTCTTCTTCTCTAATAATTTAATGAAACGTCAAAGCTTCCGCGCTTTGCGCGGAACGGGGGAAATTGAGTTCAAATTAAGGATTAGGAGTCGAGAACGGAACAAAGAATCGTCCTCTTTCACCAATAATTTAATGAAACGTCAAAGCTTCCGTGCTTCGAAAGAGGGGGACTGAATACAGATAATGAATAAGGGTCGGGAAAGGTACAACGAATCGTCTTCTTTGTCTAATAATACGTCAAACCTTCCGCGCTATGCGCAGGAGCTAGGCCGCGGACTGAATTCAGACAAGGATTATGAGTCGAGAAAGGTACAACGCATCGTCTTCTTTCAAACTCCCCCCTCCCTGCACCCCCCCCCCCCCCCCTAGGGAGCGCGCTATGCGCTCTTTAAGACGTGATTCGCACGCTTTGCGTGCTCACTACCGCCCCCCCCCCCCCTGAAATGAAATCCTGGCTACGCGCTTGCTCTCTCCCCCCTCTCCTACCCTTGATCTCTCTCTCTTCCCCCTCTATCCCCTCTTACTCTCCCCCTCTCTTTGTCACATCCCCATTATCTCTCCCCTCCCTTTATATATATATATATATATTGTAACGGACCAGCCCGTTACAGGTAGTTATCTTGCAGAAAACGTAGAGGGCAGTAAGCTTTTGGGGCGTAAGGGCTCAGAGCGCGATTACGGACGCACCATGCGTAAAGCAGCTCTCAGAGCGTCTCAGATGCTATAAATTGCGGTATCGAGCACAGATTTCGTCACTTCGACGCTGGCTCTCGTCTTGGTCAGATAGCGAACTCTCCGCTTTGCTCCAGCTGAGCTAAAGTAAGAAAAAGGACTGGAAGCGAGAAATAGAGTTCCTACAAAAGGCAATACCTGCCTTTACTACTTGTTGAGATTAATACAGGTAATTGGTGTCGGTGTTAACTATGATAACGTGTTGGAGAAGTTGACTTATGTTTGTATTAATAAAGTATACAGTTAAACAATCCAACGTTTCATAACGTGTAATTAGTTGAGTCTCCATAGACTGATGTAATATAATCCTCTCATAGAGAATTCACGTCCAGCTATCCAAAACACCTCTCGTCTCCACACTCATATACTTTGGGAAAACGGAGCCACGTCAGGGCCTCTAAACTACAAGCCAAATAGAAACCGCTCGCATTATTCAGGATGGCAAATTCTTCGTCAGATGACGGTGATAGAGGCAAGGGACAGGCCAGCCCTCCAGCATCCAGGACCCGTTCTAGGATGGAGGGCCGTAACAATATATATATATATATATATATATATATATCTTTCTCTCTCTTCCCCCTCTCCTACCCTCTTGCTCTCCCCTCCCTCTGTCACACCCCAAATCTCTCTCTTTATCTCTCTCTCTTCCCCCTCTTGCTCTCCCCTCTCTTTATCACACCCCATTCTCTCTCCCCACTCCCTCCCTTTATCTCTCTCTCTCTCTCTCTCTCTATCCCCTCTATGCCCTCTCCTACCCTCTTGCTCTCCCCTCTCTACGTCACACCCCAAATATCTCTCTCTCTCTCTCTCTCTCTCTTTCTATCTTTCCTTCTATTCGTATCTGAGCTGACATGAACGAACATCAAAGATACATACACATGTACATCATGCAAACATCCTTTCTAAAAAAAGACATCACAGCCTTTATTCAAATTATTTTTCAATTTCCACCACAAATCATACATCTTTAAAGACCGTCAATACTACTGGGCCAGAAGGGATTAGACCACACAGCAAGGTCACTGACAGGTTGCTATCTCATTAACTCAATTTTTGCACCCTCGCAAACAATGCCCCCTGTTCATCCAAGCGTGAACACATACCACACAAAAAATGATACCAAATGATTTGCGATACAACACCCTTTCATAAGATGTATAATAATTTACTGTTCATAAATGATTTTTAAAATTATTAGCAATTTTTTAGGTGTAAACTTTTTTTTTACTCGCACGGTATAAAAGCGGAATATTAATATTTTACTTGTTTCCCCCTCATAATGGTGATTTGATGCGATCAAAGAATACCACCCAAAGGACACAATACATGTGCATGTACATGTACAAACAAATCATCCACGACCAGAAATGATAGACATTCTTAAAAAAGAAAAGATTTCTCTTATTTTTCTCTGCTGGCCTAGCTACATGTAGACTGCAAAAGGAAACTAATCAGAAGTAAATAGCAAACATGTTTTAATTTGTTATTTGTTCTTTACAGTGTAACCCTCTGACAAACTTGTCAAAAATCAAACGTTTTCCTTCCTTTAAGGCTTGTTCAGATAGAACGTGGTAAACCGCCGCCAGAAAAACGCCCACTTTTTGTTGAATGGTAGCTGTGTGCAGCAAAGGAATTGCACCTATTCACTGAGCTTTGTGTATAAGATACAGCTATGTGAAGCGCTTGACACTTTACGTAAGTCATCATTTTTGAAAGGGTAGCGGTTTGTCACGTCTGAAAGAGCCTTTAGATTGTTCTTACATCCCCTAAATACTGACAAAAACATTGTTTGGTTTGAGGTATAACTGAAAGAAAGTGATTCATATATATATATATATATACTCTCTAAAAAAATCAAGTGATCACAGACGTCACTCCTCTGGAGAGTGAAAATGTAGTGGAAATAGAGTGAACATTCACTCTTTTCTTCTTAGAGAGCACTCAAATATAAATCGATATTCACTCCTAAACAAGTGATCATGGACGTCACTCCCAAGAAAGTGAAAATAGAGTGAAAATTCACCTTTTTTTTTTAAGAGAGTATATATCTATTTCAAATAATGGACATGTTTTTTGATAAATTTGTGTAAATTAAAAAATAATAATAATCATAATCATCACAATAATTAATGATGAATGATAATGATGATAATAATAATAATGATAAAAGTTAAAACAATTATGATAATAATAAAACAAATAATGATGGTGAATAATAATAATGATAATCATAATAACAATAATAGTAATAATAATAAAAATAATGCTAATAAAGTTATGTTACATTGATATAGCGCATTACATGAATCTTTAATGCGATTCACCATGTTACTGACAATGGCTTACTTTGAATCATCAGGTCATCGCGTTGAGTCGTTATCCGACCTTTTGTGAAAGCATGCCATTTTACTCACGAAACGACAGAGGTAATGTTTGTGAAAAATACCCCCCATCTACGAATGGTCTGGTCTAATTACCTGACACTGTAAAAACCCTACAGCTAATCTACGAAAGGACCCGTCCTAAACATGCAACTTCACATGATCTTCCGCTTTCGTTTTCACAAAATGTTGTGTGACCGGAAATGCGACCACCCGACCTGATGCAATTAATCTAATGATTTGAAGTGAGCCTGTTACATTTATGTATTACTATTATTTCTATACATAATTTGTATCAAAATCAATTGTACAAAATTTCCTGAGAATCAGATTGCAATCATTTTTTCAGGTAGCTGATGTATGTACAACTATCAGAATGCAATCATTTGTCAGGTAGGTGCATGTATAACTATCAGAATGCAATCATTTGTCAGGTAGCTGATGCATGTACAACTATCAGAATGCAATCAATTGTCAGGTAGATGCATGTACAACAATCAGAATGCAATCATTTGTCAGGTAGATGCCTGTACAACAATCAGAATACAATCATTTGTCAGGTAGCTGCCTGTACAACAATCAGAATGCAATCATTTGTCAGGTAGCTGATGCATGTACAACTATCAGAATGCAATCATTTTTCAGGTAGATGCATGAACAACTATCAGAAAAATGACACAGGCATTTTCAAATCCTGTCAAATCATTTTGAAGGCAGGTAAATCTAGCATTTCTTTGAATACACAATCTAAAAAGAAGAATTTGTACCATTCTGTAAATAAATAAGACCTAGTATAAACAACATCAACATCATAACAATTAATTCTGCGGTACGAGGAAAATGACGATTCCCTGGTTTCCTGGAAGAAACAAAAATAAGACGTTTGGCTTGACCTTTGACCTCATTATGACACTGACTGCCACAGAGCTCGGACCGACTAATCTGTTTCCTGAGCACCGATGACCTCATTATGATACTGACTACCACAGAGCTCCGACTGACTGATCTGTTTCCTGAGCACCGATGACCTCATTATGATACTGACTGCCACAGAGCTTCGACCGACTGATCTGTTTCCTGAACACCGATGACCTCATTATGATACTGACTGCCACAGAGCTCCGACCGACTGATCTGTTTCCTGAGCACCGATGACCTCATTATGATACTGACTGCCACAGAGCTCCGACCGACTGATCTGTTTCCTGAGCACCGATGACTTCGGCTGAAAGCTGTAGAGAAAAGGAGAGAGAGTACATTGATAGGAGACAGGAGTGTCATGCTACGGCCAAACAATGTATCTACACAAAGCTTCTTTTCTAGTAATTCAGGTTTAAAACTCTACAGAAGTACAGTTTTATCTGCAGTTTTGTTAGTATTGGGTATTCTGACTGAGAATGAAGAACGCGGTCATTGTTACGCACAATTATATAATATGGACTGGCCTTGAGAAAGATACCACATAATATTTCCCTAACTAGACTCATATTGCCCCAAGTCTAAGACAAGGGCAATATGGGTCTTGTGAGGGCAAGAGATGTGGTATCTCCCGAAAGCTAAGACATCTAGAGCAAATATATAAATGACAATCTCATAGAACTGAAAAAAACTTTGTCAAACCAGCACTGTGCATCCAGCTGCTTGACAAAATTGTTGATACACTGCAAACAGTGTGCCCAATTTGGTGTGATTATTACGTGATAAGAGAGTGCATGCAAAGTGTGCAGGTTCTCGTACGCATAAAAGATGCGCAATGAAAATGACACAATACGGCGTGGTGAATATGAGACTTTATTTCATGCTTTTTTAACATGTAAAGTCCATAGGCTTTTTCATGAAAGGTGAATATAGTCTCGTATTCACCGATTAGCCCTTTTAGGATTAAAAAAATAGTGTAATATGATTTTGTAAAACCACTGCTCAGATGTCTGATACAGGTAATAATCAAATATAATGTTACAAAAGTCCCACATATTTGAATAATTTGCATAAATTAAAACATACATTGTTTTGCCGCACTACGTACGAGCACTCGCTATGGCAGAACATATGTCTCGATCAATGACGGAGTTGCTACGGCAAAACAACGTATCTCAAATTGCTGTGATGGCAGAATAGCGAAAGTGTACAAACAAGTGTACTTTTGACAAAGTTAGCGTCAGCACAGTTGCATTTGTCTGTGGAGGTGCTACTGCGGGTGCAAGCGCAAGTGTGCATAGTGAACATGCACACTCACTTTACCATGGTCTCTATACGTAAATTATACTATACTGTAAATTGGAGTAGTGAGCATGGCAAAACAACGTATTGCTGTTCCGTTTACATTGTTTTGCCATGGGCGCATGTTATGAAGGGGCGCGCGCTGAGAAGGGGCCTGCATATCGCCGCTTACGTTGTTTTGCCGAAAAAATTACTTTTAATCCGAGAAGGGGAGTGCCATATTTTACTGAAAGGATGGTTCAGGTTTTAATATTTCATTGGGAGTTGGACTATACTTGTAAAAAGCCATTAACGTTAAAAAATAAAAAGTCAATTTAAAAAAAAAATTGCCATACATTGTTTTGCCATCTCACGGCCGAGGAACATACTATACAGGGTTCTGCAAAAAGATAAACGCATTGGCTCACAATACTCTCATTTTTAAAAAAGGCAATCAATTTCATAGGTGCAAATTTACACAGACTGATCTCTGAAGTGCAAAAAAAATTATTATGACATGTACATGTACATGTTCCCCGTTGCCTTTGATCTAAGATTTGAACTGGGGCTTTTAGGGGGCACATCTCGGAAGACCAAACTACACAAGTAAGGCCCTGGGGACAATCTTGGTCCTGTAAAGCTCTTAGAGACATCATAGAGGTATTAAAGTGACTTGGTAATATTGTCTCAGATTCTGAAACAAAAATCCTGGATTTACATGTAGCTCATGCTGCCATCATAGTTATAAACCTTTTGGTCAGTTAGGAATCCAATGACTTTTACAAGCTGTTCACCTGTCTGATTATCAAGATATTTATGATTGGTTATCGAAATTTCATTTTGCGTTTTCCTAACGGTTTTTATAACACTAGTGTCTGTTGGGAAACATGAGTATGGTGAAACCGGTCACTCAAAGTTTTTACTTTTCTGAGGCACTTCATGAGTTCATGATCATTTTGAAGCGCAATTTTTTTAGGGCTTCAATATTACACCATACCACAGACACTGATAACACGTAAGGACATGCATCTCAGATTTAACATTGTTAAACGGTCCCTTTAAGTGCTACATGTAGCTTAAAGGTAAAGACCAGTTATGGTCATGCGATTGCATTGTGAAAGAAACGTAGTGGAATCGATCAGAAAAGGTTGATCATCTAGCATATAAGTATTATTGTGTACTGCAAGGTTCTAGAATCATCAAAATGTTAAGAAATTCGGCCCAGTCTTGGTAAAGTTACAAGCACTGTACACAGAAAGATGTATATGGGACTACGCACATGTGCGCGACACGTGCCTTTATCTATCACATACCAATAGATAAACTAATTTACCAAATATATCAATTAGTAGGCGGTTTCCCGGCAAAATTGTTATCATGTATTAGTCAAAACATATTCTTTCACATGATTGGTAATAAGGGCTTCCATTTAATTTTTTGAAATTGGGGCGTTTCCAATACTGGTCTTTACCTTTAAATTAAAATCAAAATTTGAGCAAATGTAATGAAAGGGTTTACAGACCTGGACAGAAGCTGTGGCAGACTGGTTGGATGGCATTCCTTGATGGCTACTAGGTAGTGAGGTGAGATCGGATGAGGCTGGAGTCTGAAAAAGATTCATGGAAGTTAGATCAAGAGAAATTAGACTTGGTTGACACGGTTGACATCTCATTGAAACACCTGTATTTGAATTGGTACCCCTTTCAATGGGATGTCGGCAAAGTTTTACTAATGAAATTTTGTGAAATGACGCCCCAATAATAAAACGGATGAAATGAAACTTATTTCCAACATTTAAGGTGTCAGAGTGTTGAAAAGAATGTGGTCAGTAGATCAAAGATCTCTGGAGGCTTTCTCTTGACAAGGGAGTGGGGTATAGGCCTAATAAGAAACTTATCCCCCCCCCCCCACCCCCCCCCCCCCCCCCCCCTCATCATTCCCCTTTTAAAAAATTCCACCAATAGACTCAGGAAGCCTAAGATTTTTTACATATGTTGATAACTGTGCTGGGTAGTTCCTCCTACAAGAAAGTTCCTACTTTACTCCCCCCCCCCCCCCCCTTTAAAGGCCGGCTGTACTTCAGCCAGAAAGGATTAGACCACCCAGTGAGCCAGCGAGGTCACTGTGACAGGTGGCTATCTCACTATCTCAGCTCTCAATTAACCTAGGAAAAAGAGGATCATGGGGGACCAACAGGCACGATAGGACCGTGTGACTTAAAACAAAAAATGACCAATAGACTCAGGAAGCCTAAGATTTCTTACATGTGTTGATAACTGAGCTGGGTAGTTCCTGTTAGGAGACAAGGACGTCAAAGGCACATGGGTTATGGGTAGGTCACTGATGTCCACATATGAAGCAACCTGCAGAAAGGAAGAGGAAGTTGGAGACATCGCATTAGAAATTACAGTGAAACCTGGGACCCGTTTCACAAAACTTGTCATCAGTGAGAAATGACGGTTTTTGTAGTAAGCAACTGAAAACCTTGCTTTCTGATTGGTTATCAGTGGATTTGTCACTGATTTTTGTCATTTGTCATAGAAAAAAAGCTTTGTGAAACGAGTCCCTGGGGGTGTTTCACACACATTGCTTGTTTCCCTTGAAAGTGGTTTCTCATTGAAACATGTACTAAAGGAACCTGTAAATAGAGACAACCTGCTTATAAAGACAACTTTTTCTTGTTTCCCTTGAGTTGTCTTTGTATATAGAAGGGGGGGGGGGGGGCGTTTCACAAAGACTAAGATCGACTTTAAGTTGGACTTAACTATGGCAGGCCATTCATGCCACTAGTTGCTCTCACCATTGGTCTTTCAATTATGATCTTTAGATACTATTTTTTTCCTTCAATAATGAACTATCAAAAAGGTAAATTATGTACATTTGTGACCAAGATTTGTACATACCTTGAGAAACCAATGCCGTAAATGGTAAGAGGAACTAGTGGCATGAACGGCCTGCCATAGTTAAGTTCAACTTAAAGTTAATCTTAGTCTCTGTGCAACGCCCCCCTGTATACAAAGACAACTCAAGGGAAACAAGAAAAAGTTGTCTTTATAAGCAGGTTGTCTCTATTTACAGGTTCCTTTAGTACAGGTTTCAATGAGAAACCACTTTCAAGGGAAACAAGCAATGTGGTCTTTATAGACAGGTGGTCGCTAAAGCAGGTTTGACTGTGCTTATGGGGAACATGGGAGAGAGTGTATAGAGTGGAGTGGTGAAGGAGGATTACTGGTATGAACATAGGATACAGATTCAGGGGTGATAGTGAGCACTAAAGAAAAAATAGGGGTTTTTTTTCCCCTCAACCACGCCCTCCTTGAGCAAAAAAAAAAAAGGATTCGGGAAGACAAAAAAAAGGGAATCCAACAAAATCCCCCCCCCCTTTTGCGTAACGAAATTGGGGGAAAAATGGGGAAAATAGGGAAAATAGGGAAGAATATGGAATATCGGGAAAACCGGGATAAAATTGGGAAAGAAAAAAAATTGGGTAAAAAAAAATCTGGTAAAAATCAGGAAAAAATAAAAAAAATCGGGAAACCGATTTAAATCAGGTAATTATCACAATTGAACAAGGAACCCTCAGGAGAGACTGGAGATTGTCACAGCTCTAGAGAAAAGGAGCTATAGAGGGAGAGGCAAACACACCGACAAAAATAGGGGCCAAGAAATGGAGTAGGACAAAAAAAAGGAATCATTTTTTTAAAACAAAGATGCCATATAGACAGAGAGTAAAAGAGAGAATAGAGTAAAATAGACAGAGAGGGTGTATGCAAGAGGGAGAGCTCTAAAGAGATATTTGAGCATGTAATCATGCTAAACTGTCCAACAATTAACTCAGTCATTTGAGCTTCAAAATCAGTTTAGGTTTGTAAATCAATAAATGACACTGTAATGATTGTGACACAAGGTCAAAGGTCACTTAACTCTGTGCCACCATCGATTGTCAGATCGTCTTTAGGACTGGGTACGGACGTCTTGTTGTCATGGAAATGTGTCCTCCGGTGAACAGTGAGGGCGCCACTTCGTTTAGCAGCATAGGGGCAAAGGTCGCAAAGGAATGGTCTCTCACCTATTTAGTTTGGGATATGTTAAAAAAAGAAAAGAGGAAAATTCTTTATTAACAGGTATACAAATCTTGACTTCTTGCAGGAAATGAGACCTGTGTACACAAAGTCTTTTTTCAAAGACAAATGATAAAATTCAGTGACAAATCTGCTGATAACCAATCAGAAGCAAGGATTTCAGTAGCTTATAACAAAAACTGTCAATTGTCACTGATGACAAGTTTTGTGAAACGCCCCCCTGAATGCTGCTCTTCCTTATACAAGTATCATCGGGTTCAAATTAGCAAATATTTCCCATGCATCATTACGGAAATTAAGCATTCTTGCATCTATATTAATCTTATTAACATGAATTTATACTCATAAATGATCAATGTCATCCATTTTCAGAAGACTGAAAAGTGCCATCTGGTCCAACCAAGATATTTCTAGGAGACTCAAAGTCAGGATCTACAGAGCACTTATCCTCCCTATTGCCACATATGGAGCAGAATCCTGGACTCTCCGAAAGTCTGATAGAAATAAGCTTGAGGTATTTGAAATGAGGTGTCTCCGGACCATCCTTGGAGTTCACCTAATGGACAAGATAAGGAACGATGCGATCAGGCAGAGACTGAATGTCCCAAGCACCATGTGCGAGGAAATAACCAAACGTCGCTTGAAATGGTTTGGCCATGTTTTACGCATGCCGCATCACCGCCTACCATACCAAGCATTCCAAAATGACTTTAATGGACGCAGACCACGGGGACGCCCTCCAAAGAGATGGAAGGACCAGGTTCAATGCGATGTGGGATTATCCACACAAGAGGCAGAGCAACGAGCCCAGGGCAGATCAGACTGGAGCATGATTTCTCGTAGGGGAGCAAGGGGACACACCGTCCTATGCACCTAAGTCAAGTAAGTCAAGGAAGAACAGGTAGGGTAGTAGTAAAGGTGGTAGAAGTAGAAAGGAATTAAGTGCAGGTAGGGCGGTAGTAGAGGTAGTAATGAAGAAAGAGTAGGGTGGTAGTCTGAGTACAAGCAAGTATAGACTTTCCCCTAGTGTAAACAGGATTTTAATTCATGTTCTGTATCATCCCTCCCCCCCCCCCCTCCCCTCCCACCTCTGAAGACTGGGGCGTGTTTCACAAAGTCCAACTTAAATTAGAGTTAAGTTCAACTTAGGATCTTTGTGAAACACCCCCTGGTTATAGAGCATTTCAGTTTCTTTATCAAGCTTCTTACCCGTGTGTTTTCGCAGATGTACCGTCAGCCCTTTCTTGTCCACACAAGAGAACTGGCACTGGGAGCAGCGAAATGGTCTGATGGAAGAATGACGGGCCATCACATGACGCTTTATTTAAGATAAAAAAGAGAGAAAATCAACAAGCCAAATAAAGTTAAAGATAAACTTGAGTTCTGGTAAAAAAAACAAAAAAGAATTCTCACAGAATCAAACGATACTTACACTGAATGTTCAAGATTACAAATAAATGTCATTTGCAAATCAATTTTGGTAGAAAATGTATACTGGCTGGGTAATGAGCATAGAAAGAAATCAAGGTTAGTAGCCCTGACACCATTTGTGTAGTCCCACATACATGTACATCTCTCTGTGTACAGTGCTTGTTAATACCAAGACTGGGCCAAATTTATTATCATTTTGATGACTCCAGAACCTTGCAGTACACACCAATACTTACATGCTACATGATCAACTTTTTCTGATCCATTCAACACCTTTTCTTTCATATTGCAATCGCATGACCAGAACTCAACTTTATCTTTAAACCTGTCTTAGTGGCTGCCTATTCATGAAGGCCACCTGTCTAATAGTGGTCACCTATTACACTACGTTAGTTTGTCTCCCTCTAGGAAGGAGCCTGTGTTGTAGAACCTGTCTAGAAAGGCCACCTGTCTACAGTGCCCAATATTCCTGTTTCCCATGGATGGGCTCAATAGACAGGTTTCAGGTTTGACTGTACATCTACATGTACATATTATTTACATAAAGATATTTTTTTAAACAAAGGCATGAAGGTTTAATTTCTAAAAATAAAACTAGTAAACTGGTCTGTTTGTTAAATAAAGGGAATTTAAGATATCTTTGTACACTTGATCAATTGCAGTCAAGAGTCCCAACTCCCAAGATACTTGTATTAACTTCCCGGCTTCCCCTAATATTCAAAGATAACATTAACAGACCCTGTCTTACTCTTTAATAATCAACATCAATATTCTTCTACATCGTAACATCATATAGAGAGGATGATTTAATTCCAAAGGTAAAGCAGCTAATTGATAGAAAGGAGCAGACTAATTGGCTTGCGAGGGGCATTGAAATACTAAGAGTATGAAGGGGTAAGGGCAATTCGCTGGGAACTTAAAGGGATCTGGTAACTTTGTCTTAGATCCTTTAAAAAAATCCTTGATTTAGCTCATGCTGCAATGATAACTATAAACCTTTAGGTCAGTCAGGAACCCAATAACTTTTACAAGCCGATCGGCTGTCTGATTATCAAGATATTTATGATTGAAAATCGAAATCAAATTTTGCGTTTGCCCAACGGTTTTCATAACACTACAGTCTATCGGGGAAAACGAGTATGGTAAAACCGGTCACTCAACGGTTTTTACTTTTTGAGGCACTTTTTGATCATTTTGAAGCGCAATTTTGTTTAGATCTTTAATATAACACCATATCACAGACACTGATAACACGTTAGGGCCATGCATCTCAGATTTAACATTGTTAAACGGTCCCTTTAAGAAAGATAGGTACTGAAGCCTAATTTACCTTGAGAGTGCTCCCATCAGCAGCGGCGTAGTTACAGTGATTACAACGATACGGCTTCTCCCCAGTGTGCTTCCTGATGTGAACCAGGAAGTTATCCCTCTTCTTGGTGACATACCCACAATGCTCGCAGATAATCGGGTCCACAGCGTTCTTGTGCATTGGCGAGTGTTTATGCTGCTGGAGCTTGGAGGCCGTCACGAAACTCTTCTTACAAGGTACGCAGTGGAACTCTGACGTTTGCTTGCTGTGTTTCTTCTGATGAATCGTAAGCCTTGCTGATGATCGCGTCATGTAGTCACAGACGTTGCAAGTGAGGACCTTGGTGTCGGCGTGCTTGCGCATGATGTGGATTTTCATCCCGGAGCGAGTCGCGAGGGCATCGCCGCAGATCTCACAGAGGTAACTTTTCTTTTTCTGGTGCTTCTTGACAACATGTCGCTCAAGCTCGTTGGCCGTCTTGTACCGAGAGTGGCACTCCTTGCAAGCGAAGATCTTGGAACCTGTGTATTCTTTACGCAAGAAGGGCGATTCGATACCGAGCGATTCTCCAGTCGGAATTATAGCCTCGCTCTTGAGGCTCTTCTTGAAGTGGATGGTCGTAGGTGGGCGACTACCACCGGTGTGCTGCACAACCGTGATAGTGGTGGCTTCGGGGTTGGACTGTGAGGCTCGTTGAGCTATCGCTTGGAAGTCCACGCTGCCGTAGAGCTTGGACCCTTCCAACATCACCAGGGGCAATGTCTGCGGGGCTGGTCGGGGACCATCCTCTGGGGTTTGTCCTTGATCTTTGTCCAATGATGATGTTGCCATGTCTTCATCTGTTGATGTCCTAGGTAATGGATCTGAGTTGGCCACTATGGTCTGGCTGCCTTGAGGAGGATTCTTCTCCTGCTTTAAACTCTCAACATTCTCCGTCTCTTCGGACATCGCTTCAGGTTCTGAAGAAACGTGAGGTGGCAAGTCTTGGCCAGTGTCGGATCCAGGAGCCTGACCCTCGCTCACCGCTACACCCGATGACAGGGACTTGTCAACGATCGGCATTTCCGGAATCCAGCCTGCTCCTTTCTCTGTACCCTTTTCTTCCACTGTCTCGCTTCTGAGTTTCGCTGCTGCCATCATCGATTCATACGCCCTGTTAAAGTCGAGTTTGATGGCAGATGCTGCGATCGAAGTATCTTCCTCTTTCTTTTCCACCTTGGTTCTCAAATCCCTCAAACCATCTTTCCTGGTCCTCCCTATATCTGAATTTGCCTTGTCACTTTTTACTTTGGGGGACAAGGCTTGCACTTTAATTTGTTTCCTTCTTTCAATAGTATCTCCTCCCAAATGACTTGTTGCTTCCTTTGATGATTTTTCACTTATGCACAATTTACTTTCCGTGATGAGAAAGTCATAAAATCTTGCCAGATCCATTTCAGAACCATCAACCTCTTTCTCAGTTTGCTGAGGCTGCAACACACCACAATCATTGGTTCTCGAGTTACATAACATTTTCAAGACAACTTGATCTTTTGGAATAGATTTCAAACACTGCAAGTTCTGTATATCATTCAATACAATTTTCAGTGGTGTATCGGGGTCTTGTTGCTGCGAAGATTCTTCCGAAATGTTGGCAAAATCTTTTTCCTCGCTGGCCATTGTGACGTGGGAGCTCCTTACATGATCACGCATGACCCCGCTGTGCGATGAGTAAAAGTTGCATATTTTGCAGCGATGTATTTCGACCAGCAGCAATGTGGATTCAACATGCTTCTCAAAAATATGACGAACCGTTGTTGTCATGGTTGTGCTTGTTGCCATGGTATGATGTGCCATTTTGGGTAAATCGATATCATCAGAATGCATGAACTATAAATGGCAAAAACTAGGTTCCAGAGCAGCTCTAATTTGTTTGTTAATATTTTTACTGTTATTACATCGATATCGAATCGGGAGTCGAGAAAGTTTCTAAAAAACAAGCCACGTACTAGTCTACGTACACGCCTGCGGCGCCGGTGTAGGAGCTTCCTGGATCGAGTTACGTACAGTACAGACATGCGCGATCGCATTATAAATGCACGGGAAGACCATTTATTTAACCTGCTGCTCACTCACCCTTCTCTCGTACTCGTAGGTATACAACCTTTACCAACAGTCGGTCAAATTCGAGAAAAAATAGCTCTTAGCTTGTTTTATGTAACACTGAAAACCAAAGTCATTCATCTCTTTCATTCCTACTCCAACTTCAGAGCTCGAAACTCTTTCGGTGCAGTTTCAGATCGTTGGAAATAGGTGAATCCCCTTCCGATTTTCGGCAGCATAAGGGGTTCGTCGCTCTCAGTTCACTGAAAATTCAAGATGGATGTCATGACGTCAGCGAGCTAAACCGTAGTCTATATATTCAGTACCATATAAATATTATGAGAGATTAAAGACGATTTTATATTTTTTTGATGGATAGGTATCGCTAGATAATTAAATCAAGCGTCTAAGAATTGGTTTATTTTGGTTCAGAAAAACAGACATAAATGGAAATTAGCATTGCAATATTCGCCAAGGGCGGTTATCTTCAAAATATGGATTGACTCTGAGAGACTAAGCCTATTCTATTCTAAGGCTATTCTTTTTCTCAAAGCTGCGCATGCCTCCACGAGTATGAGGCGCCAATTGTAGAATTATTATAAAGGCAAATTGATTGATTGATTGATTGATTTTTATTCGACAAGCTTCCAACATACAACAATATACAATAATAACAGATCAAAATTAAGTCAGCTTGAACAGGATAACCAACGAAAGCTCAAGAGCTTATTGTGCCAGTGGGGTCTCCTACAGACATGTGCAAAATGATAAGTTAAAATAGTAATATTTACAGACAGATAAGAAAATACAAATAATTACTTTTTAAAGATAATAATAATAACAACATTAAACTGATGATAGAAATGATAATAAGTACAAGAAGAAAAAGAAGAAGGAGAAGAAGAAAAAGAGGAGGAGGAAGAAGAGGAAACTAACAATAAATTTGTAGAATGTCTATAACGTATAAAAACTATATACAAAATGAAAAAGTATGAACCGGCAGAAGAATTTCAAATTATATGTGATATAGTCATTATTTAACAAATAATGACCATTATTTACATATCATGCAATTAAATGAACATTTTTATTTGTAAATAATTCTTAACCAATTTGTATTGTTCATAAATAATTACAATTCATACTGCATTCAATTACAATTCACATTTCCATTATTTATAAATAATGACAAATTACATTTCATTATTGATATATAATTGCTATTACTTTTACAGACAACTACAAATGACATCTTCATTACTTATATATAATGACAAATATTATCATTATTTAAAATATGTAATTGCTATTGTTGATGAATAATTACAATTCACATCTTATTCATAAATAATGACAAAATCCCAATTTCATTATTTATCAATAATAACGACCCCCCTCTTCATTTTTTTATAAATGATAAAAATTCACGAACCCATTATATATTATATATATATATATATATATATAATAATCAAAGCGCATTTTATTATATATATATATACATATATATATATATATATTATATAATGAAAAACGCAAAACCATTACATATATGATTGCACATGCAAATGTGGCAATGGTGCACTGTTTTATTTCCGAGCGTGACGCGTATAATGCAAAGTGAATGCAATTTTTTTTCACTACCGTCACTTCGTGAAAACAGCGACGATATGGTTTAACAAATTCAATTTAATTCATTAGATTTGGATTAATACGACAGACTATTTTTTCATTTCGTTTATTTCCATTTCCAACAAAATAAATAAAGTACATGTGATTGCATTGTACATAGTAAAACAATGAGACTTAACAATATATTTGTAATTGGTCCACAGTGTACAACGGGCATATAAAACAGCTAGGTTGGTCGTGGAGGGGACTGCTGAAAAGCTGGGCTTGTAGATTGCAGCCCCCTGTTGTCTATCGCACCCGTGGAATTCCATTGTGGCCGCGAGAACTTATTGGTTTACCCTTTGTACATGTTGATCAACCACAGATGTATTTAGGCACATTTTCGCACGAAGAAGGGGCTGACACCGTTTTCCAAATAACAAGGTATCTAGCTGGTTTCTAAGCGAGCGGAAATATCTCTATGTATTATGGGTCAAACTGTTACTACGTCTTCAAAATGTATTTTATAACATATTCGAGCACTTCACGGTTTCTTGAGCGAGCCTAGTAATGGGGCTTTCACGTATACACTCCGGGGCCCGTACGGCGAGTAAAAACGGACATTTCGGGAATTTTCGGCCGGTGTCCGGCCGGTTGCCGTAAAGTTCCTACGGGCGCCGGGACAGTTTTTTTAGCCGTACGTGTGCCGTGGTGCTGAGTTGGCTGCTCCCAATTCTCCCGTGGTTTTTATCTGACCGTTAGGCCGTAGAAAGCCCGTAAAGGACCCGTAGGGCACCTTACGGGTCCCATTCGGGCTCCGGACGGTGCCCGGACGGGCCCCTCACGATTTTGGGGGTTAATTCTCATGAAAAATCTTTACGGGCGCCTTGCGGTGCTCATGGGTTCCGCACGTCTACGGCGCCCTCACGGGCCCCTCAAGAGCCCCGGGTGATATGCACAGCAAAAGGCGTCTGCCGTCCGGGGCCACTTAAAATGAACATTGCCCGTGCGGGTCCCTCACGGCGGCATCTCGAAATGTACAACGCAGATTTAAATACAGGAGGTGCGGATATATAACAGAGGACACATACAGAGTGAGTCAGAAAAAAATGTCCCATTTTTTAAAAGTTGTATTGTTTGAAGTATGAATATTTAATTATGAGTTTCATGATATGTCTTGATAGAGTTATCCTCCCAGTACATTTAGGTTCCATTTTCATTTGAAATTCTGCATGCATCACTGAATATCAGACAATCTTTACGAGACTGCCAGATCTCACTTGCGCCAAGTTACTGGGTGAGGAAATGAAAATCGGACGGTTCCCGTACGGTCTCTAAATCCACGGCAAGCCGCCGGGTAGGGAACATCGTACGGGGCCCGGTTTATATGTGACCTATAGGCATAAGTGATAACAAAACAATAACGGTAAAAACAAACAAACTATTATTTCGTATTCAAAGTACTCTAGATTAAAATTGAGTTGAGGACTTTGTTTCCTCAATATGAAATGATCGTTCCCCTCTGAATTTTCGTGGGCTGCAGCCCCCGGCCCCACCTCCCCGTATACGCCTATGATCTGCACAAACGTTAAAGGGACTATGTAACATTGTTCAGATGAGAGATAGTGGTGCTAAGGTAGTGACTTCAATGCTAGATGTACAATTAAAGATAATCTGAAAATTTGAGTGAAAACGGATCATTAATTTTATTTTATTCTAAGGGGTCGAATTCACAAGATCTTTGAGTAGATCTTTAATCTGTCCCCACTCAATTTATGTTATTTGTGTTGTCATCTACTGATTTTGCTATGTCCATCTTTTTATATTTGTTATACATGTATGCGCTTATTCGCAATTCTATGTGTCTGTTTTTTATATTGAGTGAATAAATTATTTGAATATTTGAATTTGAATATTATTTGAATATTCATGGTACAAATTGGGAAAAACTGATCTGATCTATTCCTTAATTCTCCCAACTATATTATTCTACTTTTATTCTGCTACTTGTCAAAGCCTGTTCAGCTTCAAGACAAGGACAATTTAAGTACAATTTAGGTGAATGTAAATCGTCACAAAGCAATAAAATGGCTCTACATTCCATTCCAGACAGTTAAGTGTTGACAGATTTTTATAGCCTGTTTTATGTATTTTTGTCATGGAAAAACGGTTGGGAAAATTCAAAAATGGTTGGGAGAATTTACTGTTAATCACTGTTAGAGGGTGCCTCACATTTACGCCTTCAAAGAAAACCCTAGATATCTTTGTGGTTTGAGAATTTGTTCAGGATTTTTTGCATGTCAGAGGGTTAGTATAGTAGAAGGAATATAGTAAGTAACATTTTATACAAAAATTAAGCAATTTTTTCATCAACCTTCAACAATGTTACCGAGTCACTTTAAATCTAAATAGGGTTGAAAATTACCAACCAGTTGAAGGCCTAATGGAAATAACTATCATCATTGAAACCTACACATTTCTGTCAAAGGTTATTAACGTTTAGACTAATAAATTCAAAGAGTGAGACAGTTTGTAGATGAGGGTATTTTACTCATATCAAAATGTATAATTCAGTCCTCCTTAGTTACTTTCGCATTGCATCCTACTAACTCGAACTTTTATTATCATAGAGTATAGTGATTATACAATTTGTCAATTGTAAGCAAGATAGGGATTTCATTTGACTTATCAATTGATTCTCCTTTTCCTCAAAATTCAAATCCTTTTTTTTTACTTCCTAAGAGAAGGTTGAAATCTCAAAATACATTGAGATGATACATTATACAAAGTCTAACTTTTGAAAGGACGTAAGTGAAAAAAAAAATGTGTTTTGAAAAAAGAGAATTAATGGAAATTATGTACGACGTATACCTGTATTTGAATGTCTGGGCACACTTGTTGAAATAGTTTTTGATAAACATATTAAACAAACCATCATGTGTACAGTGTTTGAGGTTTCCGTCATCGCTATCGACAAACCGAGGTAACCCCTTGGGGGGTGGGGGGGGGGGGGAGAGATTATGGAATACCTTCGATAATCAGCAAGTTTTCTCAAATTTGTGAATTCTATACAATGACTGTAAATAATCCATCTTACATACACAATTCTCTTGTACTATTTCCGATCTGTA